TGCTGAGAGGAGCAGCAGCCACAAATAACTCTGAGCACAGTGCTGTCCTGAGTGTGGCTGAGTATAAACACGCTGGCCTTGGGCTGGCAGGCTGGAACATGGGTGTTTGGGTACTGGGGCTTTTACATTCTGTCCTGGTCTATGATTGATACTGCAAAGGTCTACCCAAGTCTGGGCCCTGGAAGTGGGCATGAGAGAGCAGCTGCTTAGCAACGCCCACTGGGGGTAAACCAGCGTGCTAGGCAGGGAGCCAGCCAGGAGCGTGGGCATCATCCTTGCGAGGGCGTGAAGGTGGGAGGCAGGGAGCTGGCATGCCTGGGGCTGGGTTGGAACCTGCCAGCCTTGCGCTCTTTCTGGGGAGGTGGGCACCATCATGTGGGCAGGGCTGCTCTCCACCTTCTCTCAGTGGTGGCAGAGGTGCCTCCCTGGGTCTGAGGCAGGAGAGCCAGCCAGATGGAGGGACTATTTATTCCCCTCTCTGGTACCCACTCAGCGTTTAGTTTCGTCACATGTTGCTTCATAAACACCTTCCATATGTGTGCTGTGTGAACTCCTCGACGGGCCAGGGCATAGGTTTTGAGATGTTTTATATCCTGACATGTACGTAGTCAGTACTCAGGACTCGCTGATTAACTCCCTGAATGCCTACTGTATACCTGTCTCCTGACGTGTTGGTGGGGCAAGCGGTTGTGCTAAGCTCCAGGGAAGGGAGAGGGATACTTTTGGGGAAAGGGAGGATGGGAAAGCTGTAGAAGAGAGAGAGGCATGTGAGCGTTCCTCCTTGAGCGTGGGAGCCGTTTCTCACATTTATAATTCAGATCAGGCTAGCAGAGCTACATGAAATCCAACTCTTACTTGCCAGTGGGAAAACCCATTCAGGCATGGCTGGATCCAGGTGCTCAGACAATGTAGCAGGGCTCTTCTCTATCTATCAGCTCTGTTTTTTCCCCATGTTGCCCTTTTTGGTACCAAGATGGCCAGCAGCAGCTCCCAACTTACATTCTGTCATCCTGCTATTGCATGTCTTTGGCTCCCCTGACCAGCCACCCGGTGACTGTGGGCCAGCGGCATCTAATGCTCAGATTGGCCAGGCCAGGGTCATATGCTCCACGCACAACTGGTCTCCGTTACACGTGGACACTTGGATTGGGGTCTGGGAGGGGAGGATTCACCAAAAGAAAACCAGGGTGCTTTTACTAGGAGACTGGGGAACGCTGGGTGGGCTGAGACAACAACACCCCTCGCAGAACCTCCTAGATCTCACGGCACTTAAACTTCAGTGTGTGTGTAAGTTACCTGGAGTCTGGTTAAAATGCAGATTCTGGTTCCCAGCTCTGAGAGGAGCTTGAAATTGTACATTTCTCACAAATCCCCAGGGGAAGTCAGTGCTGCTGGCCCGTGGATGGCACGTGGAGTAGCTGGGCCCCAGTCCAAGCCCTCCCTCTCTAGGTAAAGGAACAGAACCAGGGAGGGGCCTGGCTGGGCCCCCTGCCCAGTAGGCTTCCCTCGTGCCCTGCCTCCTTCCTTGCAGGGTTTCAGCATTTGGACAATTTTTGAGTGGTTCCTGGGAAGGAGGGAGCACACTCTCTTTGAAGGTGTCATGGAAAATCCATCTCTGTAATGAAATCCAAGGCTTTTGCAGCTTCCCCTGGCCTTAGGCAGAAAAGCCCCCAAGAGTCTCCTCGCCTGGAAGCCCCAGGTTTATATGTCCTGTGTAGTGCTACCCTCCCTGGCCCCACCGCTGATGCTAAGAAATGCTCTGAAAGCAAGTTTGCAAAGCCTGGCAGGCAGCGCGGGTGGCCTGAGCCCAAGGCAGCGAGGCTGATGGTCACGAGCAAGGTGGAGTGGAGCGCTCGGTTCCAGAAAGAGCAGGGCGCATTGCCAGGTGACCGGGAAAACACCCTGTGGCAACTTCTGTGCGCCTCTTCCACCTCCCTGTTCCCTGACAGGGCGGCTCCCACCTGCCTTTTTCAGGCCCTTATACTCTCGCAAAGATCTTTTCCTGGAATGATCGATAGCTCAGTCCCTGTTTCCTTTTCTGAGTGTTGACAGTCTCAGGAATTATTTGTTTCTCCCCAAAGGCGCTGTAGTAGCACAGGCTGGGCACGTGCAGTCAGCTGGGGTCCGAAAATATTAAATGTAAGATTCCAGAAATGAACAATTTATAATTCTAAGTCATGCACTCTTCGGAGTAGCAAGATGAAATCTCACGCTGTCGGGCTCCGTCCTACTCCAGATGTGAATCACCCTTTGTCAGCACCTCCGTGCTGTGGAAGTGGCCTGCCTCTTAGTCACTTAGTAGCCACCTCGGTTATCAGGTCCACTGTCAAGGTACCCCAGTGCTTGTGTTCAAGTCACCTTTTCCTACTTAATAATCCCATAACTTTTATTATAGTATATTATTATAATTATTCTGTTTTATTACTACTTTTGTTAAACTCTTACTGTGCCTAATTTATAAATTAAACTTTATCATAGGTTTTGTATATGCCCAGAAAAAACCAGCATATATAGGGTTCAGTACTACCCGTGGTTTCAGGCATCTGCTGGGCTCTTGGAACTTGTCCCTTGTGGGTAAGGAAGGACTGCTGGATAGCCTGGTGGTTTAGGCCTAGGGTCAGTCAGCAAACACCAGCTCGTGAGCCAGATTTGGCCACAGCCTGTTTTTGCAAATAAAGCGTCTTTGAGACACAGCCATGCCCATTTCCTAGGCATTATCCATGGCTGCTTTCAAGCTATAAGGGGATTGTTGAATATTGTGACAGAGACTATATGGCTGGCAAAGCCTAAAGTGTTTACTTTTTAAAGGAAACATTGGCTCAACATTGATCTCTGGAGCCATACTGCTGGGGTTCAAATCTAGGCTCTGTGTCCCCCTAGTTGTGTGACCTTGGGCAGGTGGTTTATAGACTTGTGCCTCGGTTTCCCCCTGTGGTTACCGTGAGGAATAAATGAGCAAATAAATGCACCCAAAGCACTTGGAGTGGTGACCAGTTTGCATTAGTGAAATGGCACCTGGTGTGAGGGCAGTGTGGCCATGGATGAGAAGGGAGTTCTGTCCTGACCACTGACTGTCCCGCAGGTTCCCCAAGCTCTGCTTTGTAAGCTGATGGCTGAGTTCACTGTTTGCAGGGGAGCTGAATCTTGCCCTGTGAGCAGTTCTAATGCTGCCGGGTGAGGGGAAATGCATGTCTTTCACTCTCCCTCAGCTGGGTAACTCAGGACACGTGGCTTGGTGGCCCTCTTCCTTCTCTCAGTACCGGGACTGCATTAGGGTGACGCCCGGGGAGGTAAGTTTTAAGGACCCTCCCTCCTGGATTTGTGCACGTGCAGAGCACCCGCGAGGGAGCGCCTCCTTAACTGTCGCTCCCCGGGCGCCTCGCCTGACTTGCCTGCCCACCCAGTGCAGCCAGCTCTGATGCCAGCATTGGAACTGGAGCAGTGTCTTCTCTTGACTCAGGGGTCTGAACAAACCTGTCAGGAGTCTGCTTCAGTCTCTCAGCTCCGTGTCTCTGAGTTAGGGGCAGGATGGTCCCCAGCAGCTCCTGGTATACCTCACTTTAGCTTAGCACCCCTGGGGAAGGGAGCACCTCCTCCCCACAGCCCTAGCAGGACACCTAGGGCTACTCATTGGCTGCCACAGGTCCAGCCCATCCCTGAACCAACTGGCCAGGGCTGTGGTGGGGACAGAATGGGCTGACTGACCAGCCCTGAGTCACCTTTCCGCCCTTGGGCCTCACCTGGACTGCAGGGGGAGGAGGGAGGGAGTGGACCTCCAAGGAGAACCAGGGAGATGCTGGACTGAAAAACTGCAGGCACCTGGGGCCAGAGAACAGTTCTGATTGGCCCAGTTGTCAGGGGTATCGCTATGTGTGCAGGAACCAATGTAGGAAAGAGGTTGGGGTGAGTGTAGAGAGCTTCACATGCCTGGTACATGGTTTAGGGTACAGGTTTGCTGCTAAAACAGAGAGGCCCAAGTAGCAGTGGCTTGAACAACATGGAAGCTGATGTCTCTCTGACAGGACAGTGGTGGGCAGCCACCCTGCTCCTAAAGGTCACGGAGGAGCCCAGGCACGAACTGTCCTTTGCTCCACTATCCTCCTGATGTTGCTTCCTCTCACAGTTTTGGCAGCTCACCACCACCTCCATGTTCCAGATGGACAATGGACAGTTGTGCCCTTCCCTTTAGGGCAAGGGTGGGGAACCTGTTTTCTACCATGGGCCATTTGGATATTTATAACATCATTCCAGGACCATGCAAAATTATCAACTTAAAAATTAGCTATGAAAAAAGCTAGATTTATTGAGTTTTGAGTCCCACCAGACCAAATGATTTCGTGGGCCATATGCTGCCCGTGGGCCGGATGTTCCCCACCCCTGCTTTAAGGACACAACCTCAAGGATGTGCTCACATGGTTCCCCAGCTACAGGAGAGGAAGGGGAGATGGACGCTGGGGGCAGCCTGCAGTCTGCCACACGGGCCAAGGAGTGGGTTTCCCAAAGAACGACCCAAGGAATGCTGAGAGGAAGAGAGGCCCCACAACACACAGTTTCCATGGCCCAGAAAGTATGAGAAATGTTGTATGCGGTGTTTTATTTTAGGATATCTACAAGTGTGTGTAGAGGGTGGGGGAGGGGCCATAGTAAAGGCCCTGAGAAGCCTTGAAGGAAAATCCCCAGGGTTTCCTAAACATTTGATCACAAAGCTATTTGAGAAGTTTAACACCTGCTAAAATTCTATAGGTAAGTTATTTCAAGCCAAAAAGTTGCTAAAAAATTCACCTGAACCCTCTTTGGGCAGTAGGAACCGGTAAAGACTTCTATGCAGAGGTGGCTTGAGCCGGCTGGCTGGCCTGCAGGGGATGATGCTGGGCCGCGTGCAGGACCGCATGCTGTGCTGTGCACAGACACGCCTGCGGTCAGCCCCCAGCAGGCTCGCCTCAGAGGGATCCAGATGTCTGTTCTACAATATCTGAAATGGTCTGAATTTTTGTCTGTAGAAATCTGTGCAGATCAGAACAGAAGCTGGCCCACGGCTCCACATCGAACCGCCTCTGGACTATTTTGAAGATTTTGAGCCACGTGGGGACGTGACTGTCAATGCAAAGGATGCTTCTGGGGGTCATCCACAGGTAGGAGTGGCCTCGGCTCAGTGCTACAGCAAGTGGCAGGGCACCTTCTGTTATTTATTTCTTCCTTCCTGGAAAAAGAAGAGTTCTTTTCTATGGAATGACCCAATGACCTTGTTTTGTACCCCATCCATAGAAATGAGATTTTACTGTAAGCAAAATTGTGGACTTTATTGCCTTTAACACCTACCTCCCACACACATACACACAACACACTCACCCACTTGCTGTTGAATCAACCAAACAATCCATGCTCGTGATCAGTCTTCAAACAACCAGCAGTTTCTCTTAATCTGAAAGGCTGGTTTATGGCTGAGTTCAGTCTGTTACAGCCCCAGCCCCAGCCCATGTCACAGGATGCGTATATGCCCTTCAAGCAAGAGGCATGGTCGTTCCCGCTTCTCCTTCGACCATTTGATACCTCCTGTTACATGAACATGTATTCCTTCCTTTGCAAGCTCCCAAACTCCCTGAAACCTGGGAGCCTGTCCCTCACAAGCTATTAAGCCCCATTAGCATTCCGGCGCGCGTGCTCAGAATCAGCAAAGCCCTGCTCCACCAGCGCTGAATTTCGCCCACTGTGAGTGCTCGACTGTCCTTCTTTCTTTCCTTTTCCTCCCCATCTTGAGGGGGCTCCATATGCTTCACGGTCAGTTTCCCCATGGAGTTATTTTCTTGCTAAGTGAGTAAAATGGCAGCGCCAGTTTTCAGCAAATGCAAAGCCATAAGAGATGCAATCTGAACAGGGAATGAAAAACACGTGGCTAAATATTCTCAGCCACCTTACTCTGTTTGCAAGAGCAGCCTGAAATGGAGCAAAAGGAAATGCATGTCTGCGTGTGTACTTTTCATCTGACCTCACTGTTGAAACACACCAGCCTTTCACCCTCAATTACATCCTTAGTGAACTTCAATTTCTTGGCGGCCGAGTTCACAGCCCGCGTGCTGCAGATGTGTCCTGTTGGCCGCCACCCCACTGACTTGCACAGTGCTTTCAAAGGTGTGAATTACTAGCTGACATTTAAGAATCAGGAAATTCCATGTCGAAGTCTGAAGTTGGGCCTTCTCTTAAAATCGGAAGATTTGGGAATTTGGGAGCCACATTCTTACGCAACAGGAGCGCCTGAGCTGAAGAGCAGCCGTCCCCCTCAGAGGCATGTGCTCCAGTGTGCCGCAGTCCTCAGCACAGGTCCCAGGCGCCGTTTTCCACACTGGAGAGAAAACAGACAACCGATGAGTCTGTGATATGCCAGGAGCTGAGAGGGCTGTCAGAGAAACAGAGTGGAGGAGGCGCCGGGGGAAGTGGGCAGGGGCTGCCGCTTGATGTGGGAGGGCAGGGGCTCTGCCTTGATGAGCTCATGTGTGAGCAGAGGCCTCAGGAAGCCAGGGAGTGGGCCATGTGGAGAAGAGCATTCCAGGCACAGGGAGCAGCAGGTGTCGGAGGCCCTGGGCAGGAGGCCAGTGTGGCGGGAGCCGAGTGACTGCGGGGTAGAGGAAGAGGAGGGGAGGCCGGAGAAGCAGGCAGGGCTTAGACCATGTAGGGCTTTGAGAGCTGTGGTAAGGATGAGGGATTTGACTTTGAGTTGGGGAAAGCCATTATAGGGTGTTTTGTTTTGTTTTGTTTTGTTTTGCAGTTTAGCAACTCCAGTGAAAGGAGGGCACCTCTTTCCAGAGAGTTCACCAAAGTGCCAGCTCTAATTAGGTTGGCCTTCCTTGGGCTGTGTATTGCAGTGGGTGATAAGGCTCCATTTAACTACATTTAAGTATCAGGAATGAAACAAAATGTACATTTTTTTCTATTATTGAGATATCTTCCCCCCCCGATAATGCATGATCAATATAAAAAATTCAAATGGTACAAAGAAAAGTCCTTTCATAATCTCACCATCCCAGAGATCATTTCTGTGAATAGGTAGGTATGCAGCCACCCAGATTAAAAATGGCACATATTATATCCAAGAGGAAATTGTTATCTGGAATGTTCTTTCTGGCCCACCCCCAGTGAGCGAGTTGTATTTCCCAAGATTATTTATCTTGTCAGTCCCTGAGAGCAGGATAGGCCATAGGAATGCCTTCTCTGAGTTTTCCATTGTGTGGATCCTGGAGTGGGATGAGTTGGGTATTTGTATGCAATTAAAATTTAGTGTTTTAAAGTCGTTGTTACCGGCTAATACATATAAACAACTTAAAGACCTGTCACAACTGGTGTGCCACCAGTAGGTCTGCCATGGCCCATGACAGCTCACCCACCAGTTGGTACTTGGTGATTTAGGCAGTTGTGCCATCGTTGGCCAAGCATCCCCACTGAAGTAGCCCACCCACCTTGTCCCCAATAGGGCTCCGGGGCAAATCCCTTCAGTATTCATTAATTTCAGTGGTGAGACTTGGAAACATGAGGGATCATTTTTAGAGCAATTCTGTTGCTTGGGTACTTCTGTTTCAGGTTACCATGTAATTAACCTTTGAGTGAATGCCTTTTTTTCTTTACCTTTTTAAAAAAATAAATATATTTGTATTGATTTTTTTAAAGAGAGAGGAAGGGAGAGGGAAAAGGAGAGAGAAGGAAAGAGGGAGGGAGGGAGGGAGGGAAAGGGAAACATTGATGTGAGAGAAAAACATTGATGTGAGAGAGAAACATTGATCGGCTGCCTCCTTCATGTACCCCGACTGGGGATCAAGTCTGCAACCTGGGCATGTGCCCTGACCGGGAATCGAATAGGCAACCTTTTTGGTGCATGGGATATTGCCCAACTAACTGAGTCACACCAGCCAGGGCTTTTTTCTTTACTTTTTATTGTTATTTTCATATAAATGGGATCATACTATTCATACTGATTGATAATCCCACCATTTTTACTCAGCATGTGTGGCCATCTTAATGCACTGGTCCTCACTCAGCTCAGGACACGGTTTTGGGAGTTGGTGGCCCAAGTCTGAATCCTGGTCCACTTACTAGCTTGTTCCTCAGTGATGCTGGTAAAGCAGGGATCAGTTTGATCAGATCAGCTGTGGGATCTAGAGCAGAGAACGACTTAGTGAGGGGAGAGATGGGAGGCATGGAGGCCAATAGACAGAATGAGGGCCCAGCATGTCTTCAGGGATGTAAGTTGCTTTTAGCATACCCAGTTCTCTCTGCTTGTCCCTAGGATTGCAAATCTCCCACCAGCACCACACCCTGTGATGCCAACTTCTCCCTTCAGAATGCACATGGACATCCTGACCCTACAAGCAGTATGGACAAAGAAAGGATCCTCTTAACTATTCAGGATGTAATGGTAAGACCACTTTTCTGCGTCATAACCCTGAAAGGCCAGGGTCTTTCCCTTAGCCAAGCAGCTGGGCCATCGAATGGGCCCCATGAGAGATTCTTTGTTTATATTTGGGAATACTACAGGTAACAACAGGATTTGGCTTTAACAAAAAAAAACTTCTGGCCCACCCAACTTTTTCACCTTTTTCACACTTTTCACTCAGTCCCTCAACACCCCAGAAGATTTAAAACACATGAGAGATTTGGCTTAATGACATTATTTTAATTTATTTTCCTTTTGATATAAAATATAGATTTTTATTTTTCAATTATAGTTGATATTAAATATTATATTAGTTTCAGGTGTACAGAATAGTGTTTAGACAATCATAAACTTTACAAAGTGTTCCCCTTGATACATCCAGTACCCACCTGGCACCATACAGAGTTATTACAATATTATTGACTATATTCCCTATGCTGTACTTTACTTCCCCATGACTATTTTGTAACTACCAATTTGTGCTTCTTAATCCCTTCACCTTTTCACCCAGTCCCTCAACACCCCCACCCCTCAGGCAACCATCAAAATGTTCTCTGTATCTATGAGTCTGTTTCAATTTTGTTCATTTATTTTGCTGTTTAGATTCCACATATAAGTGAAATCATATGGTATTTGTCTGCATTTGACTGACTCATTTCACTTAACATAATACCTTCTAGGTCCATCTATACTGTTGCAAATCATAAGATTTCATTCTTTTTTATGGCCGAGTAATATTCCATTGTATATATGTACCACAGCTTTTTTATCCACTTGTCTATTGACAGGCCCTTGGGCTGCTTCCATATCTTGGCTATTGTAAATAATGCTCCAGTGAACATAGGGGTGCATGTAGTCTTTCAAACTAGTGTTTTGGTTTTATTTGGATATGTACCTAGAAGTGGAATTGCTGGGTTATAAGGCAGTTCCATTTTTAATTTTTTGAGGAATCTCTGTACTATTTTCCGTAGTGGCTGCACCAGTCTGCATTCTCACCAACAACGCAAAGGGTCCCCTTGTCTCCACATCCTCGCCAAGACTTGTTTGTTGATTTATTATTGATGGTAGCCATTCCGACTGGTGTGAGGGGGTATCTCATTGTGGTGTTAATTTGCATTTCTCTGATGATTAGTGACATTGAGCATCTTTTCATATGTCTATTGGTCATCTATATGTCTTTGGGGAAATGTCCATTCAGGTCCTTTGCCTGTTTCTTTAAATTAGATTGTTTGTTTTTTTTGGTGTTGAGTTATATGAGTTCTTTATGAATTTTGGATATTAACCACTTATCATATATTATTGGCAAATATCTTCTTCTGTTCAGTAGGTTATCTTTTTGTTTTGTTGATGATTTTCTTTGCTATATAAAAACTTTGTAGTTTAATGTAGTCCCTTTTATTTATTTTTTCTTTTGTTTCCCTTGACAGAGGAGATATATCAGAAAAAATATTGCTAAGAGAAATAATGACATTATTTTAAAAAAAAAAGAATAGTAAAGGCTCACGTTAAATGAGCACTTACTAAGTGCTGAGCATTGTGTTGAGTGTGTACCATCCATCATGGCATCACCCTATGAGTTAAGTGCTAAGTATTTTCATTTCATTTTATAGTTTGAGGAGACTGAGGAGTAGAGAAATGATGTTGCTTGCCCAGGCCTCAGAGAAGTCGAGACTGGAAACCCAAACCCCATGACTCCCGTTCCTTGGGATTAAGAAGCTGGGAATGGCACTGACCTGTTTTTGCTTCTGAAGGTGCCCATCTCTCCACAGGGGCCCGGTCTGTGGTGAATATTATTGATATTCTGCCTGGAAGCAAGGTGTTTAGACGGGGCCATCCATCAGTTATGCTTAACTGTTTTAAACAATGATCGAGAAGACCTCTCCTCTGCCAGGTCTCTCCCCAGTGACCTCATTGCTGGGAATGTTGAGGAAATGTTTTTCAAAAATGAAATTCAATGAGTAAACAACCAGACAAACCCAAATTGAGGGACAGTCTACAAAACAACTGGCCTGGAGTCTTCAAACATGCCAGTGGCATGAGAGACAGAGGAAGGCTGCTCCAGACTAAAGGAAGGTAAAGAGATCCCGTGATTATGCTACGTGAGGTCCTGGGGAGGAGAATTGCTATAAATTTAAGAATAGTTTGGGGGCATTCAGAAAAGTAGAATATTAGCTATATTATGTTAGATAATAATATTGCATTGATGTTAAATTTCCCAAATGTGGTAATTACGTTGTGGCTATGTAAGAGGAGGCTCTTGTTCTCAGAGACTCCTGCTGGAGTGTGTAGGCACGAGCGTTCCTGATGTTCACACTAAGGCATAAATGGGCCAGAATAAAGAACAGGCCATACGAACTGAGGAGGCGCAAAGGGAGAGGCGAGAAAGGGAGAAATGGGGCAAAATGCTAGTGGTTGGTGAATGTAGATGGAAGGGGCTTGGGGTATTATACTATTCTGATAAATTTTCTATGGCTTTAAAATTTTTTCAAACTGAAAAGTTTTTTTAGTAGATTCATTAGAGCTGAGCATCAGCAAAGGAAGAAATAGAGCAAAGTGAAGGAGGAGACCTAGCCTAGAAAAGCTGAGTAGGACGGTATCCATGCCAGTTTCCTGACTGTGCTATTGTGCTACAGTCATAACAGCGAGATGTTGCCGTGGGGGAACTGGATGCAGGGTACATGGGATCTTTGTGTATCGCTTCTTGCACGTGGCGTGTGAAATCTACAGCTCGCTCAAACTGAAAAGTAATAAGTAAATAAATAAAATAAGCCCAGATGCCCAGGTCCTACTACCCAGAGGTTCTGTTCGCATCCTGAGTTTGGGCTCAGCATTGTACCTCGTTTTGAGCGCCCCACATGATGACAATTTGCAACAATATTTGAGAACCACAGTTCAAAGAAAAGAGGGCTGTGGATCTCAAAATTTGATATGTGCAAGGATCACTAAGGGCATTTGCTTACAGTGCTATTTTAGGTCTAATTTTTAAGCTACCAGGATTTGTGCATGGGAGGTAGAACACTTTTAACAAAGAGCCCCTGGTGGTTCTGAACCAGAGGCCTGAAGAGCAGAGTCCACTTGAAATGGAAGGAATGCTTGGAGATGTCTTAGGCTCTTGTGGCTTGGATTTGGGGGCTATAAAAGAAAGAGGTCAAAAATTTAAATTTAAAATCTCATCTATACCATACAAATCGAGGTAACTATAAAGTAAAAAAACAAAATAAAACAACAAAAATCATCGAAGGTTCACAAAAAGCCAGGAAGGAATGGGAAGGGGCTCTGCCCTTGTCTTCAAACTCGTATCCTGCACTTCTGAAACTTGGGTGGGAGATGCCACGCAAAGAAACAGTAATGAAAGATGCAAAAGCATATTAGCTCCAGACAGTATCTCCTGGGTCACAGACCCATTTCTGTCCAGATATTGTCTATTAGTGTCAAGAAAAGACTAAATTATATTCAACATACTCTTTTAAGAAGGCAAGGAAGTCTTAATATATTTTAAAAACATTTTTATAGAAAATTATTTAGGTTTTTGACTCTTTAAAGATGTGAATTTTAGATAAATAGAAAATTAATTTTGTGTTGTTATATTAAGACATTACTAAAATCAAGGAAATGAATATGAACCCTTCATATTTATCATTTTTTCACTTTCGTTACATTAAAAATATATTTCAACTTGAGGAAAAAACAATCTCGAGAAAATAGGGCTTGTAGGAGAGGATTCTTGTTAGTTATGACTTGAAAAAATTATGCTTAAATTCAAGATGAGGAGGGTAGAAACATAGTGATGAAAGAGATGGGCCAAAAGGGGAGGGCTGGGACCTGTGACTGCAAGGACCAGCTTCAGATCGCGACATGTTTCATTGACTGGCCTGGTGTTGTGCTGTGGTCCTGATTGTTTCTGTTTTATTTTGAATCAAAAAACTTATTCTGAGTGTGCTTCCTCTCATTTGCCCTGGTCCCCACCACTCTCTATTATGACTCTGAGACTCATGTTGCTGTTTTACATCTTCTAAAGATGTTGGATCTTGTGACTCCTGTTTAAGGGAGTAAAAAGAACAAGTAACTGAGACTCAGCAAGCCTGGAGCAGCTAGTTTGGGCTTTTCCACCAACTGTAGGGCCTTGGCTAAGTCACAGTCTCTGAGGCCCCGTTTCCTCCCCTTTGAAAAGAAGGGGTAGATTAGGTATTTCCTGTGCTTGTCAGCTCTGAAATTGTAAATCCTAGGTTGAGTTTATAGGAAAATCCTATTTCTGATTACAAAATCCATAGGAGTAGAAGGTACATAATAGTTCATGGAGCCCCCCACTCATCCAAGGACTCCTGTAGGTCTTTTACAAATTACATATTTAGGGCTTGAAATACCTTCTCTACCCTAGATCTAAGCTTCGTATTGGCAGAGATGTGTGCTGTTTATTTGCCTGCTGTGTCCCTGGTCCTTAGAAAAGTGCCTGGCATAGAGTTAGTTTGTAAATGAATCTTTGTTAAGCAAGTGAATTGAATAACTGACTGAGTGAATCAATGAGTGAGGTGTGGTATAGATGGTGATTTGGCACCCTGGGCAGCCCTCCCTGCTGAGTTCGGTCATCACATCACTGAGTTACAATTACTGTGACAGTATTTTCCAAACTGTGACTCAGGAAACATAATCTGACAAAGAATTTTTTTGCTGCTTGGGATAGAAGAATCAGTTTGAGAGATGGAGTTTGGACCCTGAAATATTGGGATCACTGGCACATGGTGCCAGTTAAAATGGATATTTTCAGAGACATGAGCAAGGAGGGCGGGATAACAAGCACAACCCTTGGCATAGAGTGCTGGGGGTGTCGGCAAGAGTCTTGACACAGCTCGGCTGACTGTCATCATGGGGAAGTGGGCACAGTGGTGCGAGGCTTTCTAGTTTTAAGAGAAGTCAGGTATCTGAGTTTCTTTGTGTTCGATTTCTCCCCGCCCCCTCCCTTTTTTATGTTGGTAACTAATTCA